ATTCTAATAGATCTCAAATATTGTCTTTTCTAAATATTTGTTTATCATTACTTAAGTAGTGAACAAAAATATTTATCATTACTTAAGTAGTGAAAAAAACAAATAATAGAAAATAGTAGAAAATAGAAAACTGAACATGTCCCATGTTGATAGTTATTGTATCAGATCATTCCAAAAGAGCTTTCAGATGACCCTGTTGCTGCAATCTGGAAAAGGTGCTAGCAGTACTATACACCCCCTGGTAACCACAAGAACGACAGGCTAACAAAAACTTCAGTCAACTCGGTATAAAAACTTGGCTCCTTGATAACTTACGTGATAGACTAAACAGCATCAAAAATCACATCTGAAAAGGATTCTTAAACATAATTCTTATACAACTTTACGAAAGAAAGCATTGGCCTTTAATGTTTATAAGGTTTTTCTTGTTAAAAAAACACAGAAAGTGATCTAGATTTTTAAAATTCCTTCATGCCAACCAGTTCCTAGTTTTAAAAAGGCTTTTTTTTTCTTTCAAGTAGAGACTAGTCTAGTACAAGGTGTGACTGCTATCCAAATATGTGTTCCCAAAGGCTCACAGTTGAAAGATTGCATACAATAACCAACGTCATCCTAAGCCACACAGATGCACTGAGAAACAGAATACTTAAATAGTGACCCCACCCAACTATCTCTCCTCACTTTAATGCTAGCACCTATTTTATCATCCGTCAGTCTCCAGCTGACTACGGAAATTTGGAAAGTTCTGATAACTCATTATAACTACAGTTAAGTTATACCTACCAAAACAGAAGATTTTTTAAGTTGATCAAATTAACATTGATAAATTCCTTAAATCATATTCAACATCATCAAGAATTAAGAAGCAGGCAAAATGAGACTACTTAAAATACATAAAAAGAATATAAGAATGATGACCAAATAGATAGTCCAAAAAGGTATTTTGAACATAGTAATAAAGAATATTTCTTACAAAACTAAAAATAACCAAAAACATTTTCGCAAAAATGACCAGTTGAAATGAAGCATGTCACAACATATTATCATATAAATGTCTACAAGATCATTCAAAAAAGTTTATTTTTGCAAACATAAGCTAAATTTTAAAAATAGAAGATAAAATTATTTTAATAAATATCTTAGTTCTTCTAAAATAAAATCCCAATTATTTGTCCTACTTCTCATGCTAAAATTTTGTTCCTTTCTCTACATGGATCTTAAAGCAGTAGCCTCTACCTATGCCAGTTTATCTTAGATAACAAAAACCTCCTGCATTAAGTATTTCCTAACCCATTTTGCTTTCATAAAATCCAGGGAGAAGTTGATCTCTTATCTTTGAACAACCAAGAATCCTACAGAACCTGAACTAAAACCTAAGTATCCTAAATACCTAGAACCCAGCACCATTAACCGTCCATTCCTTTAGTAGTTAGCTCCCTCCAAGGTGTAAACACTCCAGAATGAACTTGAAAGTCACACGTACCTTCTGAATGACTACTGAATGACAGCTAACCGGGGTATTCCAAAATATTTTTCTGTATCTACATAAGAATATAATAGAAGAGAGATGTGGGCTTCATCAATACTGTAGTCCTGACATTAATTTTTTAGCACTGAGAACATGATCTAATGTTTTCGTCAAACAAACGCCCCAGCTAAACTGACTTTCAGTCCCATTTCTTCTGAATATTTGTCCTTGTACAGTAAAACATGATGACACTGCAAATGAGGGCCTTAACTAAATACCCTCTGAGTTGAAAAAACCCTCACAAACACCTACTCAACCACAATTTTCCTTTTCATCTGACTGATTCCGACCAAGCCTTCCTCTCTTCAGATGGACTGAAAATCAAAGTTGATAAACCATGGCATAGGAAAAAGGACCACTGTACTACACGTCAGCCAAGAAAAAATAGGCCTGTAAACATTTACAATACATGCGTTCAATGACTATTGAATCACATAATCCCCAAATAAAAATGGAGATACTTTCCTATGACTCGGATGGCACTTTGGATTTATTTTCTGATGAATAAAATCTACCTGTTGAGGGAAGCAAATGAACAGACTCTTCTCAGAATTTAAAAGTGCTTTAAAAAGGCTTATTTAAAAAAAAAAAAAAAAATCCCCCATGGTAGGGTCCTTCTTGTCTTGGCTTAATCTTCTAGAGAAGTAATTCAGATAGAAGCAAAGTAAACACACCACAGCCTCAGAGCTATCTGATTCACATAATATCTTTTCAATTACATATATATGTATATATGTCTGCATATGTATTCATACTTCCATATCCACACACTATATGTGTATGCACTGTTCCCACTTAACTAATGTAAAAATTGTGTCCCCAGATATCTAGACTCAACTTTAAGTCTTCTATTCTACACTATATTTTCCATACAACTATTTATTTGGGGAATATTTGAATGATTCTGCCAAATTTTAAGTCACAGGGAAACTGAAATGGCCTTTTGGCAATTTGGGGGTAAAGCAGCATCAGAAGGAAAAAAAGATGAAGGCTTTACACAATCATTTACAGGACAATTAAAAAATCCAGAGACAATTTACTTGACTCTCAATCCAACAAGGCAGTATTCTTTACCTTTCCAGTGATTTGTTCCACCCCAAGGATACAGATTCCAGATATGTTCTAGAGACATTTTCCTATTAAGTTTAATAATAACCCTAATAATCACCACACTGATTCTACCTATGTAATGGGAAAATAACAGGTAGACAAGTATTAACTATAGAGTGACAACTCTCCAGTTTAAAGTGAACATTTTACAGTTTTTATAGCATATTGACTTAGCGTATACTGACTTATAATAATACTATTCTAAAACTAGTTCTTGTAGACACTTCCTTCCTAACTAGAGGATTGTCCATCTTTTCCCTTAGTTTAATACAGAACACTAGGTAGCCAAAAAAAGAATGAAAATCTGGCATTTACTAGGATATGTGAAATGGAACTCTACAGGAGTCAAGAGAAAACTAAATGCAAATATTTATGGAAGCAATGCAAAGGACTGAACTTGAGATACAATAGTAACAATAAACTACAAGAACTAACAGTTTAAAAATGCTGTGTGTGTGTATGTATTTGGTGAAAAGAAGCAGAGGAAAGGGGTAGAAGGAAAATTCATTGATGACACAGATTCCCACCTGCATGCCTGCCACAACTATACTGCCACTAAGAGAAGTCAACTGATGGGGAATGTGCTTCTGGGAGAGATCTGACATGCTAGGTGTGAGAAGATAGTCAAGTACTCAAATGGAAGTACCTGATAAAATGCTGAACAATGTAGGACTGAAGCTCAGGAATCAGATTAGAGCAGCATCAGTGAGCTTTGGTTCGTCTCATCCAAATTGGAAAGAGCAGGAGCTAGACTATTAAATGAAACTAACATTGCACGGCTGCCAAGGGCCCAGCACTATAATATCAACTACATTTTACATTCAATCATTTTAATCCTGACAGTGATTTAAGAAGTAGGGCTACTAGCCTCATTTCTAAAAGGAGGAAAGCAAGCCTCAGAAAAGTTAAGTAACTTGACCAAGGAAGCAAGGTATTCTGAATTTAAAGCCTTTGCTCTCTTTACAGCACTCTTCTGCCTCTTCAGAAGAATATCTGGGGACATGGTGTGAATGAGATTTCTAAGAAAGTTAATGTGGAGCAATGAATAGGGAGCCAAACAGAACTCCGAATTTATCTCCAACCTATGAAGACTTAGAGCCCTTCAGCATTCGGAACATTTCATGCTGTTCCTAAAAATATCAATGAAAACATCTATATTTCTGTTAAAATCATTCACATGAGGAATCTGGGTTTCCATGACCAGCAGCACTCATGGAACTCATCTCTAGGGCATAAAATCAAATACAATAGGCAGGTGAAATCATCAAACTTCCCCCAATTGCTAATCTGTTTCTACTTGCATGGCTCAGTCTAGAGCTACTTATTTTTAGTGCAAATTTTCTTTATTCTGTATTAACAATCTCACCTAACAAGAATTTAATTCCCACACTATGGCACAGGCCTGAGCTTTATGAATTCAACAATTGCTAAGCAATTGTTTTGAAAATTTCATGTTTGGAACGCCTTCCCACAGCAAAATGCTGCTGACAACAGATTCTTCTCAGCTAGTTTGTCAGTCCTGGGCTCTGGTTTTGTTACTTCCTGGTCTTGCCCTCTGAAATACCCCTCTGCTGCACAGTTAAAAAGGCCAATCAAGTGAATTCTGTACTAAACATACATTTTTAGGCTTTCACAGAAAAGATCTCTCCCAAACTTTCATGGGCCATTTTTCTAGGACTTCTCTTTTATCTGTTGCTCATTCTACTTTTTTTTTTTTTTTTTTTTTTTTGCGGTGCGCGAGCCTCTCACTGCTGTGGTCTCTCCCGTTGCGGAGCACAGGCTCCGGATGCGCAGGCTCAGCAGCCATGGCTCACGGGCCCAGCCACTCCGCGGCATGGGGGATCCTCCCAGACCGGGGCACGAACCTGTGTCCCCTGCATCAGCAGGCGGACTCTCAACCACTGCGCCACCAGGGAAGTCCGCTCATTCTACTTTTGCTGTCCATGGAACAGAGAAGATGAAACAACCTAAGAGTATTTTCTTCCATCTGATTTGTGCCCCTCAGTTTTTTAACTTTGGGATTTCTTCTCTAATGGCATTCTGGTAGTACACTAAAATAAAGCTCTTTCACATTATCCAAACAACAAGTCAACTCAGCAATAACCTCTGAAATTCTAATGAAGGAAAAGACATGCAATTTTTACTAGGGTGAAAACCTATCAGTTCAACCAAATAATTGAAATAATAAGGACCTGCAGTCAGATTACTCAAAGCAAGAAAGTGCGTTCAAGAACCCACCGAGAAGAGGTTTTTCGTTTGGGTTTAGATGGATTTCTTCAGTTGGATGAAATTTTGTTAAAAAGAAAAGTTGAATTTCAAGGAACAAAGCCTAAGTTTGAAAAATCTGCATTAATTCACTTACTGAAATAACAACAACAGGATATAAAATGGAAAGATTACTCTCTTCAAGCATATTCAGTAATTTCTGGGTTTCTTCAAAATCAGAGGTCATAACCTGAAAGACCAGAAAAATAAAAGAAGTTCTTAAGTGACTTAGTTCATTCAAGTAGAAAAATGGAGAGCTTTTAAACATTTAAACATTCAAAATATCTACCAAGCTTAATTTTAAATTTTCAAACAATGTTAAAGGATACCCATAAGATTATCGCTATTAAAATTTTTTAATTCATTAATTCAAACCTATCTTCTTATCTACTTTTTACCAGAAATTTGAAAATACCGTTTAAAGAAATATCACCCTCTTCTCATTACGTGAACTAGGTTGTTAGAAAATGTTATTTCCCTATTTCAAAAGACAAAAATAACATTTCTAAATACATATTGAATAACACAACTCACCTATCAAAATCTTAAATTCAAATACTTAAGAAACAAGAAAACTAACTACTTGTCAAACATTACATTTATACAAATCCTCAAGTGCTTTCAATCATTTGTATTAACTACTTACATTCACACAAACAAAATTGTAGCATTGCTCTAAGATGATTTGCTGAAGATCTCTGCCAGACGTGACTTTTACATGCTAGGAGAAAAAATTAGAGGAAAAAAGAGTTTACAAACTAGATAGAAAGACCAAACATGAGCATAAACAACTTTATGAGCACAAAATTTCTATAGGCACATAACACCAAGGACCATGCATAAGAGCAAAATAATTCAGACTGAAGTTTATGAGGCTACCAAAAAAAACCCACTTGAAGTAGTCCCAAAATAATTAACATTATTGTAGCAAATAAGGATATAGGAAATTGTTTTAGATAAAAAAATGTTGAAAAAGCTCAAGATATATTCAGGAATAGGCAAATAGTCTGGTTTTTCTTATACAAAAAATATACAGTAGAAAATATTTGAATAAAATTTAAAAATTGGTTAGACAAGAAGTTTTAGAGAATTCTGGAAGCATGTTAAATACTACAGTTACAAAGAATACATTTAACTAAATATGGAATGACTAGAAACAGGGAAAGCAACAAGAGATTACCATCATAGGCCGCCTTCTGAGGGTCCAGATCAAGATAGCAGAGTAGGAAGATCCTGAGCTCACCCCTCCCATGAAACACCAAAACTACAACTACATATAGAATGACTATCTCTGAGAATGACTTGAAGATTAGCAGAACAGACTTTCTACAACCAATGCTATAAAGAAAAGGCCACATCAAGACAGGAAGGACGGGCAGAGGGGCAGACATGCAGTCTAATCAGAACCCCCACCCCCAGTGCAGCTGTCCATAAGCAGGAGGGATATCGCAACCATGAAGGTTCCCCCTGAGGAGCTAGGAGCTAGGAGCCCCACATTGGACTCCCCATCCCGAGGGGCCTGCACCAGGAAGATGAGCCCCCATAACATCTGCCTTTGAAAACCAGTGGGGCGCACATCCGGGAGAGGTAGAGGGCTGTGAGAAATCAAGATACTGCTCGTGAAAGGCTCACACACAAACTCACTCAGAGTCCCAGCACAGAGGCAGAGCCCTGAAAAGAGCCTAGGTATTATCAAAGGAAATTTACTGACTAATTTCAGGGCTTGTGCTGGAGGGGCAGAAATCTGGTAGAACTCTCTCCAGGGACAGAAGCAGTGGCAGGCAACATTTTTTTTTTTCAAACTCTTCTACCTACCAGGCCGTTGCCATTTCTGCCACTGTTCATCAACCTAGTTAACCCATGTGCCCCACCCCAGTATTCCCCTGAGGAACAGCCCTCCTCAACCCACCCAACCCGGCTAGCTTCTCCAAAGTACCTGCTGCCCCACCCCACCCAGTGGCTGGCCTCAGTTAGCACCAGCACCTCTCCAAAGTGGCTCCTGCTCTCAGAAGCCAGCCCCACACATCAGCAGGCCAGGAGCAGTTGTGGCCAGACCTCTCAGCCAGCCAGGCCAAGAACCAGCACACTGTTTCAGCATGCCTGCAACAACTGTGGCCCAACCACAAGAGGAGGGCACAATGACCAGGGGAGACTGCACCATCAGGCCCCACAGGACACCATTTATACAAGGTCACTCTTTCAAAACCAGGAGATGTAGCTGATATACCTAATACACAGAAACAGAGTTAGGTAAAATGAGGAAACAAAAGACTATCTTCCAAATGAAAGTTGGCAAAACTTCAAAAAAAGAACAGTTCTATCAGATAAAGAGTTCAAATTAACAGTAATAAATAACCTCACTGAATGGAGAGAAGTATGTGAACTCAGTGAGAACTTAAAAAGAAAATATAAAAATGAGCCAATCAGAGCTGAAGAATACAATAACTATAATGAAAAATACACTAGAGGGAATCAACAAGAGATCAGAAGATGCAGAAGAATGAATCATCAATCTGCATGATAGGGTACTTGTAATCACCCAATCAAAACAACAAAAATAAAAAAAGAATTTTAAAAAATGAGAACAAAAGAAAAAGGGACCTCTGATACAACATCAAGTATACTAACATTTGAAGCACAGGGGCCCCAGAAGGCAAAGAGAGACAAGGACACAAAACCTATTTGAAAAAACAATGGCTAAAAACTTCCCAAATCTGGGGAAGGAAACAGACATCCATGTCCAGGAAGCACAGACAGTACCAAACAAGATGAACCCAAAGAGACCCACACCAAGACACATTATAATTAAAATGTCAAAATTTAAATATAAAGAGGGAATTTTAAAATCAGCAAGAGAAAAGCAACTAGTTACATACAAGGGAACAGCCCCACAAGACTATCAGCTACTTTTCGGCAGAAACTTTATAGGCCCCAGAAGAGACTAGCATGATATATTCAAAGTACAGAAAGGAGAAAACTTACAACCAAGAATACTCTACCTGGCAAGATACAGAGTTTCCCAGAAGCAAAAGCTAAAGTAGTTCATCACCACAAAACTGGCCTTATAAGAAATGTTAAAGGGAATTCTTTAAATGGAAAAGGCCATAGCTAGAAACCAGAAATTTATGAAGGAAAAACTCACTGGTAAAGGCAAACATATAGTAAAGGTAGTAGTAGATCAACCACCTATATAGCTAGTATGAAGATTAAAAGACAGAAGTAGTAAAATTGTATCTAAAATATTTATTTAAATGATACCCAAAGTAAAAAGATATAAAATATGACATCAAAAATATAAAGCATGGGTAAGAATAAAATGTTGTGCTTTTAGAACGTGTTTGAACTCAAGACGCCATCAACTTAAAATAGGCTACTATATACATAGTTTGTTATATATAAACCTTATGGTAACCACAAGTCAAAAACCTCTAACAGATACACAAAAAATAGAGAAAGGAATCCAAACATAACACTAAAGAAAGTCATCAAATGAGAAGGGAAAAGAACCAGAGAAGAAGAAAGCGATAAAGAACTACAAAACCAATCAGAAAACAACTAACAAAATGACAATAAGTACATACCTAATCAACAGTCACTTCAATCAAAATGAACTAAATGCTATAATCAAAAGACACAGGTGGCTGAACGGATAAAAAAATAAGACCCATCTATAGGTCACCTTCAAGCAACTCACTTCATATCTAAAGACACACACAGACTAAAAGTGAAAGAATAGAAAAGATTTTCCATATAAGCTAGGGTAGCAATATGCATATCAGACAAACTAGACTTTAAAACAAAAAATGTAACAAGAGACAAAGAATGTCATTATATAAAGATAAAGGGATCAATTCAACAAGAGACTGTAACACTTATAAATATCTATGCACCCAAAAAAGGAGCAAATATAAAGCAAATATTAACACACATACAGGAAGGTATTGACAGTAATATGATAATAGTAGACTTTAACACTCCACTTACACCAATAGACATATCAGACAGAATATCAATAAGGAAACACTGGCCTTAAAGACACACTAGACCACTAAAAATAGATATATATATAGACCTTTCACCCCCAAAATAGCAGAATACACATTCTTTAAAAATACACATGAACATTCTCCAGGATAGATCTCATGTTAGGCCACAAAACAAGTCTCAATAAATTTAAGAAGACTGAAATCACACCAAGCATCTTTTCTGACCCAAACAGTATAAAACTATAAATCAATTACAAGAAGAAAACTGGAAAAAAAAACCACAAACATTTTGGAGCCTAAACCAAAAGCTACTAATCAATTAATGGGTCAATGAAGAAATCAAAAAAAATACTCTGAAACAAATGAAAATGGAAAGACAATTGTTCCAAAATCTATGGGATGCAGTGAAAGCAGTTTTAGAAGGGATGCTTATAGTAATGCAGGCCTACCTCAAAAAACAAGAACAATCTCAAATAAACAATATAACTTCACACCTAAAGGAACCTGGAAAAGATGAATAAAAGAAACACAGTTAGTTGAAGGAAGGAAATGATGAAAATCAGAGCAAAAATAAATGAAATAGAGACTTTAAAAAAATCTTTTTAAATCAATGAAACTAAGAGCTGGGGTTTTAAAAAGATTTTAAAAATTCACAAACCTTTAGAGAGACACATCGTGAAAAAAAGAAAGAGAGCCCAAATAAATAAAAAGAAAGAGAAGAAATTACAACTAATACCACAGAAATACAATGGATAAGAGATTACTGTTAATAATTATACACCAACAAATTGGACAACCTAAAAGAAACAGATAAATTCCTAGAAACATAAAATCTTCTAAGACTGAATCAGGAAAGAATAGAAAATCTGAACAGACTGATGACTGGTAATGAAATTAAATCAGTAATGAAAAAACTCCCAACAAACAAAAGTCTAGGATGTGAGGGCTTCACATGTGAATTCTATCAAACATTTAAATAAGACTTAATACCTACCCTTCTCTAACTATTCCAAAGAATTGAAAAGGAAGAAATGCCTTCAAACTCATTTTAGGAGGCCAGCATCACTGTGATACCAAAACCATATAACAACACTACAAAAAAAGAAAATTAATATTCATCAGGCCAATATCAATGATGAACATAGATGCAAAAATCCTCAACAAAATATTAGCAAACTGAATTCAACAATACATTAAAAGGATCATACACCATAATCAAGTGAGATTAATTCCAGGGACACAAGTCTGATTCAATATTCACACATCAATGAACATGATACAGCACATTCACAAAATGAAGAATAAAAATCATATGATCACCCCAATAGATCTAGAAGAAACTTTTGACAAAATTCAACATCCAGTTATGATGGAAACTCTTAATAAGGCAGGTATAGAGGGAACATACCTTAACATAAAAAAGGTCATATATGACAAACCCACAGCTAACATTATACTCAATGGTGAAGAGCTGAAAGATTTTCCTTTCAGATCAGGCAAAAGACAAGGATGCCCACCATCACCACTTCTATTCAACATAGTATGGGAAGTCCCAGCCACAGCAATCACACCAGAATAAGACACAAAAACAATACAAACTGGAAGAGAAAAAATAAAACTGTCACTATTTGCAGATGATATGACACTATGTATAGAAAACCCGACTCCACTAAAAACCTATTAGAATAAATGAATTCAGTAAAATTGTAGAATACAAAATATGTTGCAGTTCTGT